AAAACCTAAGGAGGCCCCAGACCCGCCGTTCCTGCTCCCCCTGTTAGCTAGGGAGTACCTGGATTTGAACAGCAGGGCAAGCAGGCATTTAACCCCGCTTTGGTGCCCGGTGTGTGCTCCCTACGGCGACTTCGCAGGCTCCCTGAGCCTTAACATTTGCCAAGAATCCGGCCTCGAATGAATGAGGAGGTCGCAGAATGACCTCCTGAGGAGGCCCCAGACCCGCCGTTCCTGCTCCCCCTGTTAGCTAGGGAGTACCTGGATTTGAACAGCAGGGCAAGCAGGCATTTAACCCCGCTTTGGTGCCCGGTGTGTGCTCCCTACGGCGACTTCGCAGGCTCCCTGAGCCTTAACATTTGCCAAGAATCCGGCCTCGAATGAATGAGGAGGTCGCAGAATGACCTCCTGGAAACCACAGCCCTGGGCTGCCTCCCTGGGTCTAGAGTCCGGAGACTTCAGCTCCCCGGGACAGATTTCCTCCTATTTCATCTTGGCCTAATTGAATTACAATTGGTATTAAACGCTCAACTTTTGAATTAGTCACCAGGCTATTTAGGCAAGACATGCTGGGCTTCTGGGTTGCATGCTATTTCGTGTCCAACTTTAGGGAAATGGGGGCCCGTCAAACCCACCCCCTCTGCTCCCCAGCAAACACAAGAGCTTCTGGCCTCTTAAATAAAATTAAACAAGGAAGAAAATCGAACCCACTTTTGTTGTTGTTGCCATTCTTATTGTGTCCTTCACCTTGGCTATTTCGCCCCCTCAGGTAAAAAAACAATCCACCCAACCACACCACTTAAATATGCAGACTTCTAGCATTTATTTCAAAGAAATCCCTACAGGGAAACAATTGGGAAATGCTGAGGCAGCATTGAAAGGAAGCTACTCTTGTTTCTGACGAATGTTAGGCAGATCCCTCCAGAATGCAGTTACCCTGTGTGTGTTAAAGCAGCATTTCTCAACCTTTTTTTATAAAGTACCCTTTAAAAAAAATAAGTACCCCCAGTACCTACAGTTTTCAAAGACACAGCCTTTTTTTTTTCCTACTATTGCAACACATTTGTTTAAACAACTTAATCATAGCCGGACAGACGATGACATTTTTGGGTGTAAAAAGTACATAAATAAGAAAGCGCTGTAAAACTTAAAACAAAAATTCAGTTTTCTCCAAGTTTCAGTTGTTGATGTATCCCCCTTCCCCCCGACTTCTCTCAAGTACCCCTAAGGGTACTCATACCACTGGTTGAGAAACACCATGCTAAGTAATGGACACATTTGTATATACAGTGTATATCAATAGGTAGGCTAAATTTGGCTGCCTTTTCCTCCTAGACAGACCCATACATATTTGTTTCCGATGCTCTTTTAACAGACACTGTGTGGGATTCTTACAAGTTTTACAGTTGCCAAATGCAGGCACGGGGGTGATGGTGGGAACAGATGCTCCCTTCCTAAACTTGCACCATTCTGTTCTTGTCCCTCTCAGCATAGTGTCCGGGTTCCTGCATGACCCCTGCTAGTTCTCACTACCCCATCACATCTGGTTCTAGGGCTTGCAGTCACACTTGCAACGTGTAGTTCCATTGGTTAACAACACAGAACTACGTAAAACAGCAGTTTCACATTGACCATTAATAAGTATTTATTGGGGGAATGTGATGTCATGGCATTTCTACCTCAGAAGAAGTCACTATCCTGTCAGAACACTTTTTTTTAATTCTATTTCATCTATCTTTCCATCTTTTTTTATATGGTCCTGTGCATAGAAGGGGCAAAGGTCTTATTCCCTTAGTTATCTGGGTAGTCTCATTGAAGCCTGTGGAAATATTTCTGAGAAAAGCAAGAAGAGTCTGGCTCATAACAAATTTTTTAAAAGCCTTTGGACAAGCCAATTAGAAACCATTTGCTTTCATGCATATGCTCTTATTCCAAAGATGTGAAAAGGCAGTCAGTCCTTTTGATGCACCTACCAGAAAGACTGGCTCACTAAAAAGTTTGCTGACTAGCTACCACTTGGTTACCTTTATTTTGTCTCAGTTTTCATTTCATGTACTTATTTGCTTTTATCAGAAACAAGTAATCTGAATATCAGATGGAGTTAGGGAGAACTGATCGGTCATTTACAGTGAAACCTTTGTTATCCGACGCTCTGTTAACAAAGTATTCTGGTTAACTGGCATTGCCCCCAGCCACAATACTGTTACATCTTCAGGCGCACAGGCCTGGCTTGGTTTATCATGATTGACTTAACAATTTTTTATTTAAGAAGTGCTAATCATCTTTAACTCAAAATAGAAATGTGAGACCAACTGCCTTCCACTACAAAACTACCAATATTAAAAACTTGAGTTTTACTATTATTGTCCATTGTTTTTTTTTTTTCTAGGTTGATGGGGACCCTTAAATAACTGGAAAACCCTAATCCCCGAGCGTGCTGGATAACAGAGGTTTTACTGTCTATACAGTGTAGTGGAAATGACTCCTAGGTAAGACAGAAACACAATTTCCATTCCATGATAACCCCACACTCACTTTTTCCCAGTGGCTTAATTTTTTTCAATTCAGTACCCTTAGGATTAATTTTTCCCCGTGTTCAATCTTCACCCAGAGATGATGTTTAAAAAAAGAAAAAGATTTAACACAACCCATTCCGCTGCTTTTGAGTTCTGCATGTTAAAGAGTATCCTTGCCCTCTATGTTCCAGTCAGACAACTTATACACATAGCACACAATCCTCAACAATTAGGTCCAGAATTAGCTCATTTTTCAGATCTCCTTGAGCTTTAAAACAAGCAGAGTTTGAAGGAAATTGTTCTAGTAGTGTTAAAGTTGTGAGCTTCAAACCTAGGGAGGTTGTGGAATCTCCATCACGGAAGATATTCAAGAGCAGGTTAGACAGACATCTATCAGGGATGGTATAGACAGTGTGTGCTCCTGCCATGAGGGCAGGGGACTGCACTTGATGATCTCTCGAGGTCTCTTCCAGTTCTAGTATTCTGTGAAATCTATGTACACAATATAGGGGCTGTTTAAAACCGTCACAGTGATGAGAAGAATTTCTCTAGTCCAGCACCCTTGGGACATGAACCAGAGCATTTGCTGGACCAAGGGAGATCATTATTGTCTAGCAGCATGACCAACACTTCTACTGCTTACTGGGCTCCTAGGAAAAACTTAAAAGCCAGCGAATATTCCTGCAGCACCTTAGAGACTAACAAAAAATGTAGATGGTATCACGAGCTTTCATGGGCACAACCCACAAAAACCATGAAGACATGTCTTCAGATGAAGGCATTTAGGGGTAAATTAGAGCTAAACAACAGCACAGAACACTGAGAGCCAGGGTTGGTGGCTGCAAACAAACTTTATGGGACTGCGGGAAACTTAAGCCACACCCATGATAAATGGACATCCAGCAAACTAACATCCGGCTGGACCACAGATGTTGCCGGACCAGAGAGGTTCAACCTGTAGGTCATCCAGAAGTAGGGTCAGCTGGATGGGAGGGTGTTTGGGCAGGGACAAGAGTAGCTAGCAGCCAGGTGCCAGTCTGTGTGTGCACATAGTTTCCAAAATGGACACAATGCCTGTAGTCTATGGCCCCAAAAGAAGAGATGTGGGTGACTTACGAGTTTCTTTCTACTGGTTGGGTTTGTGGCGTCAGTTGAGAATGGTGATGTCGTGTGTACTATGTAGAACTGACATGGTGAAACGGGAGAGTTAGTAACTCTACTATTGAATAACAAGGTGAACAAATTATAGAAAAGCCTAGGAATTAGGGTTCTACTCTTGCTTCTGACACTTTCTTGCAGTGAGGCCTTGCTAATCTCTCTGAACTTATTGCTGAATCTGAATGATTTTACAGTGTGAAATCTTTATCTGTCACTTCATGCAAACAATGTGTGTTAACCAAGATGCCACCCACATGGACCAATACAGCCAATCAGGGTTTCATGGGTGCCATTGTAGAGGTTAATACATTTTTCTTTATGCTCTACACAGCCATGGCATAAGATTTCAAAATCTATTCTGCAGCTATTTTGATTTGGCGTAGGACTTCCATCACTGCTGTTGTAGCCATCTTCCCTGCTTCATTGGACTCAGATCTCCTGAATAGCTCCTCAGTGCTGAGGAAGAGTAACCACACTAATGGTGGAGACTACTGACTCTTGAAACATCTTGTCAAATCAACCGCTGTATGGGCCGTTGGAAAAGCTACACGTCTTCAAAGTTCTCTGAAACCCAACATGTACCATGGTGGACTATCAAAGCAGCTTGCTCATCACAGTGGGAACAAATATCCACTCATCATCACCATCATCATCCTCATTATTTTATTTCCATTACAATAGAGCTATGGGCAACCCATCATAGATTTGGACCCCACTGTGCGAGATACACTGTACGCATTTATAACAAAGGTATGGTCCTTAGCCCAAGCTCTTTTGATCTAAGATAAGAGACAACAGGTGGATACAATGATGAGATGAGAGGAACGCAAGGAAACAGTGAGATTATGCTGGATAGCAGGGGAAGCTTTGCTCAGCACAGCAACTGCCTGACCACAGTCAGGTCGGGGAACTCGGCTTGGACTAACGCTCAAATCACTGGTCAAAAATGGCCTGGAAATAAGAGATCCTTTCCTTATTTTCTGCTTCCTGGATTTCTTGGCCAATCCAGATGAAGACCAGTGAAGATCTCTGTTTCAAAAAAAAAAAAAAATTATAAGTACCCACAATGCCTACAGTTTTCAGACACACACAAATTTTTTCTACTATTGCAACACATTTGTTTAAACAACTTAATCATAGGCAGGCAGGTGATGACATTTTTGGGTGCAAAAAGTACAAAAATAATAAAGCTCTGTAAAACAAAACAAAAATTCAGTTTTCTCCAAATTTCAGTTGTGTGGACTTACCCCCCTAGACTTCTCTCGAGTACCCCTAAGGGTACCTGTGCCGTTGTTTGAGAAACACTGGCCTAAACAAACAAAGAGGCCACCACAGGCAGATGTGACGTTATTGGAATGTATGAATGTACAGATCATTGTTGCAACCACTATTCTATGTTCCAAATTTTGTATAAAGTATGTCAAGTGAGATGTCTATGAAAAGCTTATGATTTGCTGATTCTGCTTATACTAGTTATATGCATGTATCATTTTTTGGTTTTGAGGTTATAAGTATTGGCTGTGTACTTGTATTTCAAATGTTTGCTTCTGGGAGATATAAACAGGAGGCTGGGCCAGGTGTTAAAGGACTATTATAGTCAAGTGAATAGACGTACGTGACTGACAATGCACCTTGGGTGGTGCCAATCCATGCCTGGTAAGCTCATCTGTGAACATTCAGACCAGCAGAGGAGCAATGGCTGCTGCCTAAGAAGTACTGAGTCATGCGTGAACAGGTGACTTGACCTTGTGGCTCGAAACTCCATCTTAGGACTGACTTTTCCACAGCAGGAAGATGGGAGTCCCTCCGCGTGGCCTAGGATATATAAAGGAGCCCTGGAACTTCCACCATTTTGTCTTCAACCCAGTTTCTCATTTCTGGTAGCTCTTTGCTATGAACTGAAGCTTGAAAAAGGGACCGATGACCCATCTCCACAGCAGGTGTTCTCCAGAGACTTGATTTAAGACAGAAGATTATTCCAACTCTGCTACAAGAAGCATGCACCAAGAACTTTGCAATTGGTGTATGTAATTTGATTCCTTTAATAACTTTGTGTTTCTGGAATAAACCTTTAGATTCTAAAGGACTGGCTATCAGCATGCCTTCTGGGTAAGGTCCGAGTTATAAATTGGCCTGGGGATGGGGCTGGTCCGTTGGGATCAAACAAACCTGTTCTGATCGGATGAGATTTGCTCAGGCTCAGAACCTCTCACCTGTATAGGGAGTGCTACGGGGGGTGGCACCGAAGAACTAGAGTGTCTGAGAAAATTGCTTGTATGGCTTCTTGGTGGCCAGTGTGGTGACTAGAAATGCTCTTTGTGACTGGTTTGGTGCCAATTTAGTGGAAGACCCTGCAATCTTGGTCTGTGAGTAGCCCTGGCTCTAAGCAATTCACCCTGTATCGATGGTCCAGACACCTTCTCTATTACAAGGGGCAATTCCAATTTCTGTACCAGTGATGGACAATGTTGGGATTGTCCTTTGGCCGGGAAATGAGGGAACACCAGCCCATGGAGTGGGCCAGGGTCAGGACGGGGAATGGTATAGGAGCTGTTTTTTCTGGCTCCTATATCAGCCAGGTATTTCTACATGCTGGGGGAACTCAGAGCTGGCAGGATATTTAAATTTTCCAGCCTCTTTGCCCCATAGAACAGTGTTGGCTTTTAGTACTGTAGTTGATAACGCAACAGAGAGAATACTATAGATATCAGGGTAAAGGTAAATACTCCAGCATTCCAGCCAAACTTTCTGAAAGCCCGACCACTGAAATATTCAGTGCATCTTCTTTATATGACAAATAATTTTGTCAAGCTTTTACTTTGAAAGAAACAGGGTGAGTGAGGGACTATCTCTTATTGTCTCAACTTCTGTTGGTGAAAGAGACAAGCTTTTGCTCTTCTTCAGGTCTGGCTTTCCCTTGATCTGTACAGCACCCACAAATGCTGATTCAGTGACCCTCCCTTTCTAGTACGAGAAATCCTCATGAGTTTCAATGAGATGATCATAATGCTCCCTTGGGGCCTTAGTCTATGGCTACCGATGTTTCAAGTGAAAACAGTGTCCAGCAATACAGACTGTATTTAGTGAAAGAAATTCCTTATTTGTCCACGCCCAATCATGTTCCCTGTAAGCTAAGGGCTTGGGCGGGTGCTCAGGAGAAGTTCAAATGCCGCGCAGCTGATCAGCAAAGCGCCCCCAGCTAGGTTTTGATTTCTACTGACCCATGCCCTCGGTGCACTTACAAATTATTCCGCACATGGATGGAAAAGATTAGCAGTAACATTGCCCCCAACCCCCTGTTACAATATTTCACTATTTTTAGCCGAGCTCAGGGTCAAAGACAAAGTTCAAGACAGCCAAGATCCAGTGGCAATTGCTATGTCCATTCCCAAGAGATGACAGGATATTAGTTCACCACAGGGACTATATCAGATATTAAACTCCTAAGAAAATTGATCGTAGCCAACAGCCCATTCCTGAAAATATAAACATGGGGCTCTTCTTTCGCTCTTCGTTGATTCACTTGCTAGAAGGATGGCTACCTCACTCTCACAAGATATAATCGCTGTGGACTGTGTTCCCTCCTATCACTCATGAACCAGTGAGAAAAAAGTGTAACGATCCTATTGATATTCATTGCATGCTGGCTAGTTATCGATATCCCTGAAAATGTGTGTCCTGATAATCTTTCATAACCATGTAGACTTGCTGTCACGATAGTATTTTCTCTCCCCACGACTAACCTTTTGTGTGCTAATCTGTCCCTCACCTGGCTCAACTAGGCCCTGAAGTTTGCTAAGGAAAACTCTCACTTAGCTCAGCATTGCTTCTTTCCATGGTAACAGAGCCTCCACGTCACTCCTTTTTGTCCTGGACTGGGGCCCCCATCTTTAAGAGTTTAGATGTGTTCTGGGCAGTGGACAGCCGGGCAAGGGGCATGTGTGGAGGGGAGAGGGGTGTGTGATTGTGCATCCCAGAAGCACTGCCCCTCCCCCAACCTCTCAGAGCCATGTGGATTCCTACCGGCAATTTAAAGGATCCAGGGCTCCGGATGTTGCTGCTTTGAGGGCATCTGCCCCCTTTGCCCTCCCCGCATCAGTGGGCCTGGTTATGTGGTGGAACAAATATTTAAAACACTTGGAATTAAGATTTATGTGTAACCTGAACTAAGACCTTAATTCATGAAGGAACTTAAAGCAAGCATGTAGTCCCCGTGAAATCCTTTCTGCGTCAGCGAGACTGTCTGTGGGCTTCCATTTAGACACATGCCTTAGTTCCTTGATGAATCCGGGCCTCAATCTCCTCTCTATGCATATTTCATTGTTGCCCTGCAACACCTGACTGCAGTCAACGGGCATTACGGCCTCCGTTGGGACGATGCTGGTTTGGATCCTTCACCAGAAGCTACCTTGAGAGAAATGGTGGTACTCCCCACTTCCTGTCTGCTTCCAGCTCCCTCTGGTTTCATAGGTGACAATAAAATGATTGGAAGATGACATTGTGAATGATAGAAAGCAGTGGCGTCTAGTCACGACTGCTGTACAACATGTAAGGATCGCTCATTTTACACACGTATTCCCTGCTGCTCAAAAATGAGAGCTGAAACGTTTTAGGAATAACTTTACCCCAGGGCACTATTGGAGTTTCTCTTTCTATGGCAGCTAACATGGAAGAGGAATCTATGGATTCTTTCAGATTCTTGGCCATGAGTAGGGCTTTACGTAGGAGGCGCCAGCTGTAAGAGATCCCTTTCAAAGGTCCAGTCATGGTACTGGAAAGACACAGTTCTGCAACCTCCCTCAATCCAGATCTTCATGAGTTGCCTTCACACACAATATTTATTCCATGGTGCCATTATTCTTCTGTGGTTACTGTATTGCTGCTAAGTTAAGATGTGTTGGCCTAGATAAACAAGGCTTCTACGACAGCTCATACGTCAGGGGTTGGGCTTTATTTTTTTTGAATGGTTGAGTACAAGCACATTTTAATCAATTTAATAATTTTTATGGCAGTGGTCCCCAACCTTTTGGGGCTGCCGGGCACCCGGAGGCGGGACCTCTCACGTGCTGGGCACCCGGGGATGGGGCTGCGCACATGCCCGGGGTGGGGCCATCCATACGCCGCATGCCCAGTGCCGGTGCCACCCATGCACTGCACACCCGGGGCTGGCACCCTTCCTGTGCAAATTGTGTATCTTATTTCAAAATTATTTCAAAAAAGCTTATTTTGAAATTTGGTGCATGTACACAGCACCAGATTTCAAAATAACGTGCTATTTTGAGCCATCCCTCATGCAATGAGGTTTACCAGGATAGCAAAATAGTGTGCCCATTATTTCGAAAAATACTTTGAAATGATGGGCGGCTTGTGTAGATGCGGGGTAGTTATTTCGGGATACCTCTGGTATCCCAAAATAGCCATGCAGTGTACGTCTACGCTAGCCCCCTAGTTTGAACTAGGGAGGATAATGAAGGCGACTGAAATTGCAAATGAAGTGCGGGATTTAAATATCCCGTGCTTCATTAGCATGTTCCTGGGCGGTTGCCATTTTGGAAACTGACTAGCCCGGAATAACTGCCCGCGTCTATACGCGGCAGTGAAATGGGAGTTCGAAGTAAATCCCTAACTCGAATTAGCTGTTACTCCTCGTGGAATGAAGTTTAACAGCTAATTCGAGTTAAAGGGTTTACTTCGAACTCCCATTTCACTGCCACGTGTAGATGCGGGCAGTTATTCTGGGCTAGTCAGTTTCCAAAAATGGCAACCGCCCGGGAACATGGTCATGAAGCACGGGATATTTAAATCCCATGCTTCATTTGCAATTTTGGTCACCCTCATTAGGCTCCATAGTTCGAACTAGGGGGCTAGTGTAGACGTACCCTTAGAGACAAACAAAAATATACAGAATCATGAGCTTTTGTGGCTAAAATCCACTTCATCAGATGAGAGATTTCCCTATGAAAGCTCATGATTCTATATATTTTTGTTAGTCTCTAAGGTGCCCCATGACTACTCATTGTTTATACAGGGTGAAAATAAATATTCCATCTCTTGTGAGACTATCTGGAGTTAGCTATGGAGTCTTATTACATTCATGCCTACCTTTGCTAACCTGCACAACTTTCCAAGTGCTTCCTTTTGTTTCACACCCCTGTCACTTGGAGCACTTGTTGATCTTGACAAGAAGTGCGTCAAAGTTGCTGGCAATTATCATGTAAACAAATACTATTTGAGACCCTTCTAGGCCCCATGCAGGTTTACACAGATTAGTTGATTGATATTATCAGCCTGGCTATTATTCATACTCCAGATATTTCTGCTGAGCAACAGCATTGCATGTTCAGAAAGCACATTATCTTACTATGCAAAAGGCTTCATTAATCAAACCAGACACCAGGCCAGACATATTTTCTTTGAGTCCAGGGCTTTGTAACTTTGAACCTTTTTTACCTTGTCCTGTCATCACAGAAAGCAAACAACTCTCCTCCTAACAGAATAATAAAAAAAGTTGTAAATGGAAAATACAGTTTAATTCAGTTAAAGAATTGCTTATTTGTTATTTTACATTGACAATCATTTTACTTAAAATAAATGACTGGCCAAGAGAATTATTTCAGTAATACACTCAGAATATTATTTTCACTCACTCATCTAAAATGACAATTGAAGGAACTGATGACATAGGCCAGAGCCAATCAAATGCTAGGCTGAACTGCTCACATGCTTATGGGGGAAAATAATTAAAACAATTTGTTTATGAAGCTGCTGCTGCTTTTTTTTTCTTCATACAGCTAAGGATGTTAAGTATCGTGCAATTGCATTTTGCATCAATTATTCGAATAATCGATAGGGCGATTCCACCTTAGGGCTGTTGCTACACTTGAAAGGCAAAAGAACTACATGGAGCCTGGAGTCCCCCGCAAACTCCAGGCTCCGTGAGGCGCTGCCGCTTTGGAACGCCTACTTACCTACTTTGTACGGATGAAGATCTGAGGCCCAGAGAGGCAGGTTCTCAGTTAGCATGACCAATAATAGTTCCATTGAATGTAGAATCT